CATGCTTAAGCAATGCTGAAATCCCATACACTTGGGCAGCTTGAAAAATAAGAAAGTTGTCATGCCTGATGGGTTGTGAGAAGTTTGGAAAAGGACTTGTGTTTCTGAGTGAGCACTGAGAGAGAGATGTACACTGGAGAAAGCTGACAGAGTATCTGAGAGTCATCCTATAGTGGCCCTGCTTGTTCCCTAGACTATCAAGCCCTTTGCTTGCTGCTCCAGTTAGAAATGGGCTCTCTCCAAAGAAGCTTGGCTCTGGCTCCTCACTTGGAATCAACAACTGCCCAAGGCTGTTGGATGCTTCTCTTCTGGAACCAGCCAGGTTCCCACCTGGCCTCTATGGCCTCTGTGGGGAAGGAAGAAAGGCAAGGTGCAGAGTATGGCTCAGGCAAGGCTGCGTCAAGACCAGGAGTCTTGGAAGCCTCCCAGAGCCAGTATCTGCCCTTCCTGCCTGCAATGAGAGGGACCTGTACTGACTGAGGGCCTGTGCGTGTTTATTCTCCTGTCTCTTGCTTTTCTTCTGTACAGTTACTGATAGGTTGGCTCCTTTGAATTGAAACCAGTTGGAAGAAAGAACGTAAGACCTGTTTATCCCTGTCTGATCAAAAGGAGAGCAGAGAGAGGAAGGGAGAGGGCAGGGGAAGGGGCAAGAGAGAGAGAGAGAGAGAGAGAGAGAGAGAGAGAATGACATAGAGATCAGAGGAGAAAATGACAGGTAGAAAGTGAAGAGATTTGGAAGAATGGTAGATGATAATACAAACTTTTCTGTCTCTTCTCCTAGAGGGCCAGCATTGGCCACGTTGATCCGCCCTTATCTTCACATCTATTTCCCCTTGTGCCACATTCTGAACGGCCTGCTCCACACACACAATAAAAGCATTCATGTTTATAGGAATTGTGCAGGGGAATGCAAGCTTGCTGATACTGTTGATTTTCTACTATCGATTGGGTTAGCTCCTGCCTGAACTTGTCCAGGTTCCCTATGCAATGTAGGAAATCACAGTATGTTTCTATGAAATGGCTATTCCTGTGGGCTTCTTTCTCTCTAGAGGGAGAATGATCTTGTTGTTGTTGTTGTTGTTGTTGTTTTCCATTTTGGTGAAAGTGTGGGACAACACACCACTGTTTTGCTTTGAGGATTAACTGATGTTTTATTTTTTTCTTTTTAATTGAATGTAGGCTTCTTTTAAACTGAGATTTTTATCAAAGTTAAATTTTGTTCCCTAGTTGACAATACTGAGTGGCTTCCATGTAAAAAAGGAAAAGGGCTCTGTAAGTGCTTGGTAGCAGGGGCACAGAATCCAGGGCATTGCTAAGAATACCAGGGTGAATCTGATGAGTGTTGACAGCCCTTAGAACCCTCAAGGCTTCCCTCTTCATTTTGTGCTAAGTTTTCTTTTCCACTGTTTTCCTGTCTACTTCTTTGATCTTTGCCTTTTAGAAACAATCATTTTTAGCCAGGTGCCAATGGCTCCATGTATATAACCCTCGCTACAAAGGAAGCTGAGATATGACAATCATGGTTTGAAGCCTGCCTGAGTAAGAAGGTCCATGAGACACCAATTAACTGCAATTAACCAGAGATACAAGTGGTAGAATGCTAGCCTTGAGTAAAAAAAAGCTACAGGACAGGGTGCAGGCATGAGTTCAAGCCCCAGTAGTGGCAACCTCCCCCCCAAAAATCATTTTTATAACAAAGTCACTACTTTTTCATCCCAAGGAATGCAATTCTGAGGTCCAGGGGAACTTATTAAACAAGAGCAGAAGAAGTGCAGAATGAGATGTAGGCCTTTGCTTAGAAATTATGAAGAACTTCAAAGCAATAGTAATGACTAGATACCACACAAAACCAAGGACCCTTCAGATCATAGGCCCTGAGCAACTGCCCTGATCACAAGCCCTTGAAGCCACCCTGAGGCCAGGGATGGTTTAGAAGAAAATGACCATGAACATGAAAGTGAGGTACCTTCCATTGAAGTGGGCCTCCTGACCAGTAGGGGTGGCATTGAGTGATTCCATCTGCAGAGCATGTGCAAAGGCAGAGCTGCTAGGCTCCTGAAGCAGGTTGCTGTCCCCATAGACTTCACACTCCACTTGGGCTCTCTCTGGGCACATCTGCCCCTGTTACTGGGCTCCATCTAAGAAACACCTATATTCACTTTAAGATGACTGCCCAGAGTAGGGGTACTTGCAGGCAGGGCAAGGCCTGATAGGACCAGGCACAGGGCAGATGTTGCAGTTGCTGGTTTGTGCTGTGTTCACATCTTCCTGGCTAGGTGATGGACTTGTGGGTCCAGAAAGGCAGTGTCAAGGAATTCTGAGCCGGACAGCATACCCAGAGGGTGGCCTACCTCTTCTCCTCCCCTGCTGGCAGATGTTTTCTGCCAGGATGCTGGGACTTAGGATAATGGGCTAACTTGAGTTGGGAAGTCTTAAGTAAAGTAAGTGGTACCTGGCTATTAAAATGCTAATGCTGCTTATCAGCAGCATTAAATTAAAAAGATAAGAGCATTAAAGGAAAACATTTTAAGACAGTGTGTTTTAATATATGTAA